GTCCACAGCACTGAGGTTTCTGCGTGTGATTTCTCGGGAGGACGCGTTTCTCGTCAGAGCTCAGCTGGCCTGATGCTCAGGTTTTCTCAGTTCAGACGGCACAGTCTCCATCCCGCGATCGCCGCAGGTCTGTTCGCACCTTTTACTGCTGGAGATTCCCTGAAGCCAGGAGACATTTAGGGCTGTGAACTGGGGAAAGGAGGTAGTGCCATGTGCTCTGGGTGGACCGGGTCACTAGGTATGTGCTGCTGTGTTATCTCGAGGAACAGGGTGGGACAGGCCTGAGCAGGTGCCCCTGCAGCTGCAGACGCCCTCTGTCCTTGGGACTCGAGTTCCATTTTCAATCAGCCGATGCCCACTTCAGGAGGAACGAGCCAGGAGTTAACACATTTTCACATTTCCAGCCATAGGAGTTAAAATTAAACACAAGCCAGGCTTTCGTTTCTAGGCCTGAGCACATGTGTCTTCACCTTGTCTGGTTCTGTCTACAACTACTGCTAGCAACGCAATCAGCCTGAGCTAAAGTTTAGCCCTAACACCCTTCAACCCTTGCGAAACCCACTTCTCCATGGCCAGGAATGTGCTCAACAGGAACGCCGTGTGCGAGCAACTGCACCGGCTCCCAGAAGACTCTGCACATCTTCGTGAAGCACCTGGAAATTGGTGGAAAATTATAAAATCAGTGACCCGTGAGTGGGATCATTCACGTATGAGCAGAAGCCTCCTGAGAAACCAACGGGCTCCCCCGGGTCCAAATAAATAAAACAAAGAAAGGAAGAGCCTGGGGTGACCTGATGTCCCAATGCTGGAGTGTCCTCGGGAGACATCCCAGGACGGGGAGTTACCTCCATGAGTGTGATTCGGGCCGCGGGGAAATGGAAAAAGAGTGAAAGCACACGAGGCCACGGCCCTTCCATGTCGGTGAGGAAGAGACGGCCTTCCTGGAGCCTGGACACCTGCTGCGGGAGGGCTGGTCCCGGCGTGGGAAGAGGGCCTGGCTGCTGGCTGCACTGGAGAAGGAAACTCCTGGTTCCTCAGAGCAAGCAGGTCGCTCCTGACTGCACTTCCCCTCACCATGAGGGATCTGTCCCACGGAGA